CGACGGTGGGGGCTGCGACGTCAGACTACATGACTAGGCCGAGAAATTTCTCCAGCTAACGACAGACAACTCCATAATAATGCTCGGATGAAGGGTGCAGAAACTTAGGAGTGGCAAGCCGGGAGATAAAAGAGCGACGGGAGACAGAGGTGGACTGACCGTGAGCCCGCTGTCCCCGTTTGATAACCGGAGCGCCCGACATGGCATAAAAATTATGGCCATTGCAATATGAAAATATCGATGCCTTCACTATTTCTGGCACCGGGACGGCCAAACAGTGTCCGGTTCGGTGCCGCCGTGCTGGGACAGTCGTTCGTAGGACCACGGCCGTCAATGATGCCTTTCAAGTTGCCAACGGTAAAAGTGGGAATTCTGGGGCTGCACTCTGACATCTGGGGTAGTGGATGTAACACGAACCCTTGGGTCAGCTGCGCCTCACAAGCAGCGAATGAATGCTCAATGGATTCAAACCAAGTTAGGTTGTAGGAATATCCCCAGTAAGTTTAATTGCAAGTCCTAACTATATAGCGTTGCTTCCTGGACGGGATATTCAGCCATCAAGTCCCTTATCGCGCGCCTGCCCACATTGAGCCGCATTACCGGCACTATAATAGTGTACTGTATAAATATAGAAAATATTAGAATTACTAGCATAAATCATATGGCAAAGTAGAAAATTAGGAGTCTATTAATTTAGTGAATCAATACCAACCTCGCCCCAAATACAATATTTTTTTCAAGTCAAAGGGACCGTCACCCAAGTCAACGCACACAATTATTAAGTATCCGACACTGAGCGCGCAACGGCGGCTCAGTCTAGCGCTCCCGGAAACCATCCCGTTGGACAAGATATACACAAGACGACATGCAAATAAACCACCCCACGGCCTTCCTTTGTCTGTTTCACTTGTTCTTCTTGAGCTCCTCTGGCGAGTACACCCGGTCGTCTTGTCCCTCCACCTCGAGAATCATGTCCTCGACCCCCTTGTTCTGTCTCTCCCACTCCGTCTTGCCGTTTTTCTTGGCCTTGTCAAACATTTCCCTGTCCGGGACGCGGTGGCTGCCTCCGATTCGATCCCACAGCGTCGTGTACTGGCCGTAATTGTAGTTGAAGTACAAGTGGTGAATCGTGTGGCAGGCGGCGCCGTTGATGACGGGGTTGTCCGCCAGGTATTCGCCATCATGGATGAGTATCGTCCAAAAGACGACAAAGACAAAGAGCACCAGGAAGGAAAACTTGTTCATGGGGAAGATGAAGGTGAATACGTGATAAGGGAGAGACTGGCCCCAGCCGTCCGCGGGATGAAAGGCATACGCCGCAAAGGGAGTCGGCACCACCCACTTGTGGTGCTTCTTGTGGATGTTCTTGTATATCAGCGGATGGTGCAGGCCCCGGTGAATCCAGTAGATGCAGAAATCGGTAAACAGCAGAAACAGCGGGAACTGGAGGACCTCGTACCAGAGGCCGGGCCCTTCCGCCACGGTATCGTACATTTTGGTGTGGCCGCGGACTTCGGCAAGAACAAGGGGAAGCGTGAGGAGAGACATGCCGGGAAGTGCCCATAGTGTTTCTTGGATCTCCAGCCTGACTTGGTTTTTGAGATAGCGCGGGTGCTCTTGCTGCTGCTTATCGAAGATGAAGACGTACGAGAGCGTGGAGAATAAAAAGTAGACCACCATGCCAAAGATCCTGTCGCGCGGAGACGTCTGGTTAGGCGGCCATGTATATACGAGGTGTTGGCAACAGAGTTGGACACTCACCACAGCAATAGAAAGAGGTTGATGGACTGTCTGAGAATATTGTCTCTTGCCCAGGCGCTCTGGCAAACAGCTGGCGAGGGTCGCACAGTGAAATACTTGGTCGGCGGTTTATATTCGCATTCTAATCCAAACGGAAATATGGTTGTGTTGGCGAATAAATCAGCATCGTACGGCGGAGGATGCGCTGGAAGCAGCCTAGCATAGACATGGTCGCCTATATATGTTTCGTAGAGGTCGAGAACAACATCCATGATGGGCGGCAGTTTTAGAGACGTAGTTGGATGGATTCTGAGCTCATGAGTTGGGACAAAGGGCCGGGCCAGTCGTTAAATGGTGCTCGATGGTTGAGGAGAGCCGACTAGACGGCGGGATGTAGATGCAAAGTAGATCAAAGGGGTCATGTTCTTTCTTATCCGCAGCGTACAGACTCCATGGTGCCCTTTCACTCCTGTAAACGAGTACGGACCCGAGGACGGAAGCTCTGGATCCGGGCATGGCATCTCGTCTCACTCTGGCGCAAATGTGAAATATTTCAGTAGCTAAGCCTGGATTGCGGACTGACGGACCGGACCACTTGCACATCTGGACAGCATTGGCCGCTGGCAAGGAACCAACGCCTATTCCCAAACGTCGGTACTTTATTGGTCCTTTCTTTGACGTGGTCCCATTTGGAGTCGTTTGCCCTTTCCGCCGTCCCCATGGGATCGATGTGGGTGTCAACCGGATGTGTGGGACTCCGATGGCCTGATGTGATTCCTTCCCGCTGAGGAGGAGATGTTTTGCAGCAGTATGTAGTTGTCCACAACGTGTATGTATGTATGTCTCCAAAGGCGTCGAAAAGGAAAGAAATTGTGGTGGATGACTCTTAGCACAAAATATAGCAGTACAAGAAACATGACTTTTTAGGTCTTTTCAAATGTTAAGCCGCAACGTGAACAGCCACGAGGATATTTTGCTCTCGACCGATTGTTGGATGATCCGCCCCATGGGCCATGGCTGTTGCGTCCAGTGGTTCGATCAGAGCTTGTGGGAGCAGACGGTTGACTATCGGCCCCGATACGAATACGACGGTCCATGCCTTTTCTTCGGGAGCACCTTCCCACTGGTACCATGTAACTACAACATTCCACATTCTCATTGGACATTCGGCAATAACGCCCAACATCCCGCATCTCTGTTGAGCTCCGCCCAGATCTGTCTCTTCTGCATGCCGCCGTCTACGCGGGCCTGTATCCACCATTTGAACAACACCTGCACATACTATTTACATGTGACGGTGGAGATATCCGGAGATACAAGCCGTCAGAAGGCGTCAAATCTGACAAAATGGGCACTATCGAACCAACAAAGTGAGTGAGGAAATCGGCCAGGAACGGGCCATCCCGCCGCCTCACAATGGGATTCCATCATGGCGCGGCAAGACTGAAGCCACAACCGTAGCCCCTAAGTTGCTTCCCGAAGAGTGGCAGTTTCTGGAATGTACTGTGTTCTGTATGTCTAAACGTCCACCAACACCACCAAACAGTGGACACCCTGTGCTTTTGGCGTGTGCTGACTGAGTGTTAAGACAATCCTGTAGAGTGTAGTCCTACAATTTATCCAGACCACTCAGGTTATACCGAAAGGCTTCAACGAGCCATACAAGATCAAGGCGGCAGTCCAACGACGGACACTGCTATGACTTTCACCAATGCAGTCCGTATCGCAACCATATCACACTTGTACCGCAATCAATTACAACCTAGTGAAGCAAGCTTCTCACCTCTGGTGACTCCCACCTATATCGTCGTGTCGAAAATACTACTGGCGAACCTCACATGGAAGTTTTCTTGGCTCTGCCAACGGTGTACAGCGGCCCGCAAGTTGTCCTCCTGCGGGACGGTCTAGGAAATGTCCCAAACGTGACTATATCCTCGGCCTGTTGGTAGAATCTAGCCAACGAGTTGGGTCTTTTGCAAAATCAGGGGATCGCTACCGTTGGTCCACTTCACAATCAGATGCTGGGAGTGTCAGGTTTCATGCGCCCTAGCACACAGCCCTCCTGCCGATCAAGCGCTTGTTAGACAAGATCTTCTAGACGCAGCAAAGGGTCTCAATTCGACCTAGCTCTTGATGATACAGGCGAAACTGCAAAGTTTTTGGGCGGCCAGAATGACGGAATGGGATGACTGCTGGTAGGGACCATTTATGGTTGTTGTCTGAACGAGTTGAGAATTTATAGGCAAGACGGGAAAAGCACTACGCCATTACGCGCCATTATAGTGAGAATGCACGGGGAGTCGTGACGCTCCCTTGACGCAGTGTCTATCACAATATCTGGTCGCATATATTACCAAGGTTGCTCAGTAAACAACCCGCGCCGTACCAGATCAGCTTTTTGCTTGATACGCAATTCAACTCTCGAATCACCTGCCTGCCCTCTGTTTTGCTCAAGTTCCGGTTTGTAAGCGTCTCTCTTAGTTACTAAAAAAGAATACTTTAATATATGATAATGTATAACGTGATAGCTAGGTACTTGATCGTGTTAGAAACGGTTTACCTCGCACAGTCCGTGGTATATTAAGCCAAATGGTTGCGTCTTTAATCCTGTAAATCTCAACCACGGCCTCATAACATAGAATATAAGATGCAATATGTTTAGCCCAATTCCACAACCCAGGTAGCGAGATTTATGACATTTGGAGCCTTAGACAAATGGGTTTAGCCCCACGCAGTCCGGGAGAAGCAGAGGCAGGCGTCAGGGTCCTTACTCTTAGCAGAGACTGGTTTCAGCACTTGCATGTCGACAGGATTCACTCGAAATTCCATCTCAATGCCAGCGAAATGAAGCACATCTTGGTTCTCTTGGTTCTTTTTGAAGGTGCGCTGGCTGCAAGCTCTGTGAGACAAGATGACCCCTGTGGGCCTTGGGGCGATGTTTCCAGATGAGCCGGACGGCGGTAAAAGAGAGCCCAGTACGTTTCTTGAGACTAAAGGTCGATGGCCACTGCGGCATTACGGCTTCTATCGGTGGAGGATCCCTACTTTTTAGACATGGTTCAGTTGGCTTGCAATTCTAGGAGTGTCTCTCTTGTCTTGTGAAAAATGACTATGAATTTCTCTAATCCTGCTGTCTATATGTACTTTCCCGTCACTAATAATATCTCTAAGTCTTGCTGTCTATATACGCCTTCTACATGCTGAAATGCCCGAATACCAAACAAAAGGGAAAAAAGCTCCTTCCACTCACGCCCGCCGCCTTAACCAGATGCAACCTTTATAGCCTGCCCCTCCTTGCTATTGATAAACTCCTGGCTAAAGGGATAGTCGGTGTAGCCCACGGGATCCTTTGCATTGTAGAACGTGTCCCTGTTATACTCGGCCAGCTGGAGCCCGTTCTGCACCCTGTACGGCAGATCGGGCGTCGAGATGAAGCGCCTGCCAAACACGACGACAATCTTGCGATCGGGGTGCTGCTCGTCGACCAGGCGCCTCGCAGTCTCGGGCGTGAAGCCGCCGGCGACGAGGAGCGGGCCCCTCCACAGCCTGTACGCAAACTCCAGGCTCTCCGTGTCCTCGGTCTCGACGTCGATGTTGCCCGAGATTCGCGGCTCCACCAGGTGCAGGTAGGCGAGGTCGAGGCGGTCCAGCCGGGCAATGACGTCGGAGAACTGGGCGACCGGGTCCGCCATCCTCATGCTGTTGAACGTGTTCCAGGGGCTGAGGCGGATGCCCGTCCTCTCGGGGCCGATGGCCTGGGCCACGGCGGCGGCGACCTCGACGGCGAAGCGGGACCGGTTCTCGACGCTGCCGCCGTACTCGTCGTCGCGCTGGTTGGAGACGTCCTGCAGGAACTGGTCGATGAGGTAGCCGTTTGCGCCGTGGAGCTCGACGCCGTCGAAGCCGGCGGCGATGGCGTTCTTGGCGGCCGCGACGTAGGCCTCCTTCCTTTGCTGGATCTGCGCGGTGCTCAGCTTCTGCGGCTGGGGGGAGTCGGCGGTCGCGGGGATGGTGTCGGGTCCGAGGATGGAGATGCCCTCTTTGGCGGCGACGTCGGGCGCGGCGACGCGGCCGAGGGACCAGAGCTGGACGAAGATGTGGCTCCCGTTTTTGTGGACGGCGTCGGTGACTTTGCGCCAGGCGTCGATCTGGTCCTGGTTCCAGATGCCGGGGACGTTGCTGTAGCCGCCGTCTTGGGCGGAGATGAATGTGCCTTCGGTGACGAGCAGAGTTCCCGGGACGGAGCCGCGCTGCTTGTAGTAGTCCGTCACGATGGGCAGCGGGACGTGTTCGTCCGAGGCGCGGAAGCGGGTTAGGGGCGCCAGTGCGAGACGGTGCTTGAGCGTGATGTTTCCTATGGACAGAGGCTTGAATAGATTTGAGGAGGCCATTTTGGACGACTCTGTAGCTCTGTAGGGGTTGGTAGTTGGTTGATGGCTGGTGAACTTGCGGGCTAGGCTTGCGAGTATTCGACTTGTTATACTATTGGATTACTTTCTGAATGGCAATACAGGCGGACTCGTCGAGTCTTTTAATACGTTTTCAACTCGATGGGGATTGCAACGCCATATCACGCACAATTGCGCATTGCACTGTACTTTATTAATCAGTTATCACGCCCGCAGTATTCACACACACCAGTATTTCTAAGCGCTGGAATCTGGGAGGGGTCCAAATCGCGGCATTTTATTGCGCTAAGACGCTAGGCTTCGACGCAAGGGATAGCGTCGCATTCCGTTGATTGTGCCATGCTCGAGCGCCTAGGAGCTTCGTAAGCATCTTGCTGATTGTTAAGTACGCTCCATACTTTTAGTAGGTTTTGCGGTCCGTGGAACTGGAGACTCCCGGAGCCTCGGCTAGATCTTTCAAATTTTGGGGCATGGGCGGCGCAGCCCTCCACCAATCAATTCGTATCCCGAACAATAGTTCCGAGATGTGACCTCCATGATGAGCACAGTTGGGGCGCTTACCAACCTTCTTGGGTAAGGCCATAGATACAGTACGTTGTGTATGGCCCACCAAAGCTCGATTCTTCTGGAAGACTCTGAATAGCCACCACGACTCGTGTCTGTGACACCCGCTCTTTCGAGCTTGATACGCGGCTTCCATCGAAGAGTCGCTCGATTTGGTGAGCCGCCTTATAGGACTCCTCGTCATAGAACTTTGCCCCTCGCCCAAGAGAGAACAGAATGAATACTTGCCAAAGTGCTGATATCTGCTGCATGCTTTAAAGATGCTTTCGCATAGAGGCATATAAGGACTCACGGGCATACATACCTAGGTAGTTAAATACCGTCTACGAGTAAAAACGAGGACATGCCTCTCCTCCCCACCTTCAATACTCTCCACAGGTTCACAGGATCGTCGTGGGAATCGAACCCACTCCCCGCAGGGCTGCCAGAACGACCTTAGGGCGAGCGCCCAAGGTTTTACAACCATGAAGGAATCAGGTTTACACCTATAAAGGAATCAAGTTTTTACCTATAAAGGAATCAAGTTTTCACCTATAAAGGAATGAGGTTTTCACCTATAAAGGAATGAAGGAGAGTAGGCTTTCGCCCATCTACCAATTGAGGTTTGCCGTTTCACCTTGCGGTGGTCATCTTCGTGGTTCTGGTTGGCGTCTTTGTCTTTCTCTGTGTGGGCCTCTGTACCCCCTTGGCTGAACGCGGGAGGCAGAGCCGTGGGCCGAAGTGGACTGGTCGGGGAGATTGACAGCAGCAGTCCTTGGAGCAGAGGTCGAGGGGCCCGGGACGGTGGGAGCCGTGGGGGGAGCGGGGTTTGGAGGGGCAGCGTTGTGGTTTGGGCCAGCAACGTTTGGCCGAGGGCGATACTGGCATTTACAATAAGCAGTGTTCACAGCAGGAGGCAAAGGAGAAAGAAGGGTGTATCTAGAGACTCACGGCAGATCTGCTTGCTCGGTCGATTCTGACTCGGCGGCCGCGGAACTCCTAGTTCGCGAGGTCATTCTGAGCCATCCTAGCATCGGGCCGGTGGTTGAACCCAAGCATCATCCAGCCTATATGGTTGTTGAAGTTGTCGTACTGGGCTGGAGCTGGCGGCCAGAGGAAGATGACGGAGCCGGGCTTGGTGAGCTTGGCTCGGACATGATCTTCAAATTCAGCCCGAGTAGCATTGAAGTCAATGTTGCGGGCGACAAGCAAACGCCGATTCTCTCGGAAGTGCTTGATGTACTCTTCCCATTCCGCGTGGTAAGGCATTCTGCTTGATGGGTTAGTCACGGTCAAGTTTTGCCATTGACGGGAGCGGCAACGTGCAGAAATGAGAGACGCTTACTTTATTTTCGTCTCGAAGATGATTTCAGACTTGATGTAGTTTGCAATAGAGTGGTGGTAGTAGTAGTAGTAGTAGTAGTAGTTAAAAACTGGCTGTTAAAAACTGGCTGCGTACTAATCGCGGTGTGAATAGAATTTTGTTGTGAAGAAGCGGGTGGGAAAATAGGACGGGGGGAGGGCGCTTTAACCGTGACCCGCCCTTGAAGCATTTTGCCTGATTTAATGATTGACCTGTGTGTGATTGGCTAGGGCTGATAGCGCCAAGCTGTGGCTTGGCCAAGCCCTGATGTTGGTCTCATTGTGAGTTGCCTGGCGGGCTCACTCTTTCTGCTAAGTGCCAGGCGCTTACCCCCCTATTATTTACTGTATTAAGAATTTTCTTATATAATTTAGGTTATTGATAATAAAAGAAATTTATTCGTGATAAGATGTGCACCAATATATACTAAACTATCGCTAAGATATAGGATTGTTATGACGGTGGTCTACCGTATATACGATAGACCAGTCCCAACGGAATGAGAAGGCTGGGCTGTAGGGCTTTTGCAGTAAGACATAAAAAGTACTAGGTATAGAGAGAGACACTGGGCATACTAGCAACGGAGTTTCAATGTTTACTTTACAGTCTCCCTACAGTACCTAGGTATGTACTAATATAGTACTGACAAACCAGCACCTTGCTGTGCACCGTCAATACTGCGCGTGTTTATCTTTCTCATATCTACGACCACAAAACCCAACAGGTCAACGGCCATTTGGGCCACCCGCTCATTGAGAACTTTCTCGCCTTGTGGATGTGAGCCTGATGTGACGTGACAAATGTGAGTCAATCATGACTCTGGGGATGTGAGTTCAATCTGAGCTTACCACTCATAGACCTCAGCTGATACCCCACATTAAATCACACGGCGGAGATGCTAGGCGCCAGGTGTCAAGGCATCTGATGGTTATAGACGGCCTGATATCTAGAGGTACTTGCTTTGGTGCTTCATGAGTCTTGGTTATGCACATGCAAGTCGGACGGCGAGATTGACAGGGGTATTAGGGCTGCAAAGATGCTGCTATCAAAGTCAAGTGAGAGCTCCTGAAATAAAGTCAAAACACTGAGTTGAGCTGACTTCCCAAGCCTAGAAAGAAGCGTGATGCTTATCCCTAAGGCATGCTCACAGTTTATATAGCCTCTCGTTTCCCCAGGCAAGACACAAAGGAGATGGGACGCCAGATGGACGTCGCCAATCTGTAACCTGGAGGCATTGCCTCCTTGGTGAAAGCCGGGATAGCCCTCACTGAAGCAAATATTCCAGAGAGACGAGGAAACTGCGGCATGACACCTAGAGAGTTGACTAGAGGAGACAGTGGCAGTGGCAGTCGTTTCCCAAACTTGGCTGCCACTTAGGATTCACTATTATCGACGTGCTCTCGCAAAGCTGCGAAGCCGTAAGTTGCCCACGGGAGGTCGGGCGTACCGAATACCTAGATATCCCATCGCATTGCCGCACGATGTTGCCCAGTAGCTAGCGACAGGAACATTTGTCGTCGTCTTATCACTTTAGGCCTCTGATTCTATCAGTGATGTCCTATATTTACCTCTTTTACTTGCCAACTGTAAGTAAGCTGCCTCACCTTTAACGTATAAAAGCTAAAGAAAACGCTGATAGAATGCTCACTCATTTATCGATATACACTATGCGGGATGTGGCCATGGCATCCACACCTACGACCGGATGAGCATATGCCTAATATCCGTAGATACACATGCGGCCAAATCTCGATTAGTAAATCCATGCAGCGCTGCTACCTTGCAGCAACCTGCCATTCTGCACCTGAAGTCAAACTCCGAGGCCGAAGACTACTCAGCAAGTTCTTAACTTCCACTGATCCTACCTCGTCTCCGCTTTCCATGTAGTCAATCACGGGGAAAGAGATCTCATAGGCATGATGTGTTGAAAGAAGGCGGCATGTCCGCACCAGTGTGCAGATATTCCTGCGGAAAGGGCTTGGCGTGCATAAAGCTCATCGGGACAGGACTATCAAGAATGGCGAAGCGGGAGCACCGGCATGACCGGTTTCACTGAGACCTTTCAAATTAGATACATGAAGAACACGTGCCGTAGGGTATAAAAAGACGGCCTTCATCATGGACTAGACACCAGGAGCAATCTCCAACGCCCACATTTGTACTCTCCACTACCAAAGTGATTTCTGTCAGACATCCAAGCCCCTCTTTTCCAACTTGTACAAACATGGCGTCTTTACTCGTGGATGTCGGCAAATGGGTTGCCAAATTTGCGGCGAAAGAAGCCTGGGGTGCCATCACAGGGAAGCAAGCCGTACCAACCGCCGAACTCCTCGATACCATCATTGCCGGACAAAATGAAATAGCCCGCCAGATTGAAAACTTGTCCATCAAGCTCGAGATCCTAGAAGCCATGAGACGTATTCTTTACTGGTCAAAGCGGATGGATGAGATCATGGACGATTTCAAGACGTCTGTTGCCCCATCGCACGCGAGCAATTCACACCGCTAACATTGCCCAGTTTAAACGGCGGAGTGATCGACGAGGCCGACCCAGCCTACGCCGAACTCCTCGCAGCTCTCCGAAACGAGAACCACGGTGTCCGCTATAGCACCTTTTCCATCTACAATGCCATCATGGGGCTGCCCGGGCAGGGCGCCGGCGCAATCTACGTCTGGCACGGACAGGCGTTCCCCAAGCTCAAGGACGACAAAAACCTCTACTACTTCATGGCCGACTACGTCAAGGAAATGGACGACAACCTGGGGCCGATTGCCTATCTCTTGCGCCAAGGTCTTGTGCTGAGCCTCTTCACAGCCTACTGTACGTGGCAATGCCCCCCCCCATCATCATCTCCCTTCCCTCCCCGTGCCTTGGTGCGCCCAGCTAATCTTGCCGGGTGAGCAGCCGAGACGGACGCAGAGCGTCTCCGCAAAGAATGCGAGGATCGCGTAAACACCATTGCCAACACGCTGTATAATATTCTCTACCCGCCTGGCCTTCGCTTCCTGAAACCCAGCCTTGACAGTGCCGGCAATCAAGGCGGCAACCAGTGGCAGCGGTGGCAGCAAAAGGACAAGAGCGACTACTTCCTTGTCATGAATAACTTTTACATTCCGTGCCTCGGTAGCGGCAAGAAGCCCACGCAGACCAACAAAACGGAGGCGTGGAATTTCGCCCTCGAGCAGGACTCTGAGCCCCTTGGGGCGATGCGATTCCTGTCTGCTTGGGATAATAAAGGGAACAAGCGGCTCCGGTACAGCAAGATGTACCAGCAGGGGTGGAACATTGATTTCTCTACGAGCACGAACAAGGACACGAGTGCGATTTTGTTTAAGCTGATACCGCTGGAGGAGAGCGAGGCGGGGAAGCAGCCCTTGTTTCGGTTTGTGCCGTATCTTGAGAGTTCAAAGGGGATTGTGACCAATAATTCCAAGACTTTTAGCTCGTTGTTTCTTCCTGTCAATCCTCAGAGCTAGGGGGGCTATGGGAGTTGAAAATAATAAGTCGACATGGCGAGAGAGAAGCACGCGGGACAGTATATTAGGAGGATTACTTGGCTACCTATTCAATAGTCCCTTTCAAGGGGTTCGCCTTGTGTACTAGGGCATGTAACTGTGCTTGTCTTGTGAGAGCTATCATTCCTTGGAACTGCCGAGGGGTATCCAGAGGAGGTCAAGTGAAAACTTACAGAGCTAAGTATAGACGGGGACTCGCGAAATACCTTGGACTTTGCTAGCGTTGAGGCCATGATAAAGTAGCCCTCTATTAAAGGATACGATTTGTTCTGTGAGATGTGACGCCTCTATCGCCAAGCTGCGTGGCTCTGAGCCTCCAGTTGCCAGAAAGCCATCACCCACGACTTCCTCCTACTTGTAGTTCTAAGGGAATACTTGTTGCTGTTTTCTCGCATAGTTCCCGGTACAATTTATTTCGGTGCTATGCCTAGTGCCCATGTCTTAATTGTCTATTATAATCTGTGGCATAATATATTTGCCCATCAAGAAGTATACGCTAATATATTGCGGTATATCATAATATAGAGAGCGATACCCGGGTATCTGATCTCGTCGAGTTCCTCTTGTGTCTCACTGTAGTCTCTAGATAGCTTTAAGCGCCTTCTAGGCTGGTAAAGATTGAAGCGTGTCCAGTCACTCAGCTACGCCTCTTGCAGCTTTGTCGTATCTGAGAGACCATGGCGTTGGTTGTGCAACCGTAGCAGCAGTCCGGCTTTCGAATGGCCGATTTGAACCTGTAATTATTGGCTGAGCCTCAGAGCCGTCAAAACACACCGCTTGTAGCCGCTCGACTTTCGCCCGCTAAAGATCTAGCACCTTGAACTTAATCGTCTAGGCCCTGTTCTACTAGGCATAAAGTTTCGGGACGACGATGACTACTTTGTAAGGCCAGTGTGGCCGTAATAACTACCGAGGTAGCTTTTGGGGCTACTTTTACTTGGCTCAAGCCGACTTTTAATTTACCTTTTTGCGATAAACCATCATCCCTAGGTGTAGTATATTATATTACCCATTGGCAACTAAGTGGACTTTTTCTATTAAGTGTAAGAGAAAAAACCCACTTAGTTGCCAACGGGTATAATATGCAAAATTAAAGTTTAACTATAGTCCAATGCTTGTGTCTCTGACTCATAATCCAACATTTCAAAGTCGTAAATGTATAAAAAAGAGGCGAGGCGGCACCACTTTACCTGCTTTGCTCTTCAAGACCTGCCAAGAACACCTGTGACCTGATGACTCTTCCATCTATGGCTCCCCAAGTACCAAACCTAGTCGCCTTGAGGGCTGACTATACCAAAGCACAAGACGCCTTGGTACATCTTCAGATGGAATTCGACGAGCTATCACGCCAGGTTGAGCCAGACCTGGATCCCGACCAAGAGCAGCCAGAGCCAGATCGCGAAGCGTCTCTGCAGTTAGCAACACTTGGTATTGAGCTAGCTTCTCAGCAGAAAAGCACCATCCAGCTGGAGCGAAATATCGTCATCCTCAAGCGGGAGGCCGGCATATTGCAGCCCGAAGAGGCCAAGCAACGCCTTCAAGAGCTAAGTCAACGCTTCTTCCGCGCGGGCGACGAGCTATGGCGATATCAAAAGAAGAGGAGGCGGTTCGATCCCCGACCGGCACGACTGTTAGACCCACGCGATGACGGCCTGGCCGAGTGCCTTTTTGTTCTGTACAAGAGACCTGAAGGGCAAAACCAGAGACGACGAGCACATAGTAAGTCCCGAGGATATATTGACCATCCACGCCCCAATACTTGGCGCGCCGGCGCTGTGGCCTACTACCATGCCAAAGGCATCGACCACGGCGAGGGTAAGGATGCGGTTTGGTGCCATGTCTCCGGCGCGTGGCACAGTACTACCTGCGTCAAAACGGTGCGTATCGTGCCCCCCCTTCCGGATGCCGGCTGCATCGGTGAGATGCTCTTTGGCCCAAGGGCACAATCCACTGAGCGACCAGGGAATGCTCTCTTCATGCGGGGCTATTTGAAGGACTGGTTTGATAACGATGACATCGTGATTATCCCGGTCAACGCGACGGAACGCCCCATTACCCGATGGCGGATAGGTGTAATAACCAACGACATCCGAAGGGAATTATGCTGGTCCGCGCCCGAGGGCTTGGGACAAGACATTAACGGAAAGGAACTGAAGTTCCTTGGCGAAAAACGCCCCGTTGCACGCTTTCTTTATTTCCGTTTCGTCATGGCGCTCGTACGCATCAAGGACGTCAAACGAGCCGGATGGCAGGATGTCTGGGCCCGGTTCTACGCCCAACGCCCGTTCCCGACGCCGGGGAACTACATGCGCAAGGCCATGATATTCGCCCTCGCGACTCATTTCGAAGGCGCCGACATGAAGGTGGTAGAGTCCTGGGTCGCGGACCACGGTTTCGAGTCGCCGTTGAAGATGACCGACGACGAGGCCACCGAGGCGGCTCGCCGAGTCCATGTCGCGATGGAGGCTGTTACTTTGCGCAGACTAGAGGAAAGAAAGTATTATGAAGATTCGGAGGAATTTACAGACAGCGATTCAGCCGAGGATTTAGAGTGGTACGACTAGTTGGGGCTGTCTGGGGTCGACTACGCCCTCGTTGCAACACCCTCACATGTATTTTTAGTAGCAACGGGTGGGAATCAGGATGCAGCAGTGTATAGCAAGCCGCGCAAAGTGCCAGTAGGGCAGACGCCATTTCTTTGCCTCTGCCGTCCATTCAGCTTTGGCAGCATTCGGGACCTTGACGGATTTGTCGACGAACTCGATCATTGCTTCATATACAACTTGCTACCAGGGAGGTTCAGTGTCTGCTGAGTATACATAGGGATCCATGGCATAGCCATCCGAACCTTACTGCCAGCAACACACTATCGGAAGACTGGTTACACAGCCCTAGCCAGAAACGAATACTGAGCGGCATGGTGCTCATAAGCTGACATACGACAACATCATCAATGAATCGAGGTGCATTCTGCAAGGAGCCCAGGCTGTCGACTTGGTCTAGATGCATTACTGTGGCCATAGCCAACGAGCCACTATCATCTTTATCCATAAGTGTCGTCACAGGCATCAGGTATAGGTAGAGGTTTGTGTGTAGCGGCATTAAGAACGGGAACATGGGCAACACCATTGAGCAATTTGAGCTCTCAGCGCCGCGCTGTCCTCCGAGCGCACACATGATATAGACCGAGAACCGAACATACCGAACATAGAAACCATATCAGCACCAGCATTACTACCAGCACCGTCGACCAGATTTTGAACGCAGCAGACGGCAAGGTCCTGCCAAGTTGGATGGCAGAGTTTGCATACACACCCTAGGCCTCCATTAGCAATATCTTGACCGACTTGTCAACAGAGTCGCCGGCTTACCCACGGAAACACGGTTGCCCACAGGGACAAATGGAAAGCAATAGAGTGGTTCTGTTTCGACCTTGCAACCACAGACCTTGTAATGCTAACAATGGCGAATGCCCACCAGAATGTGCCCTGGCCCCAGTTCACAAGCCCAACGAGAATGCTCGCGAACGCAACCGTGTCAGCCCCCTGATCGCTGAACAAGAGCGCTCCTTGCCCGGATGCGCCAAACCCCCCCTTGAGTTGGAAGACGGCCTTTCCAAGAGTCTGAAGCGCAAAGCTACTCTGCCCCCAGGGCCCGCACAGCACCATGTGCGAGTACATCTGCTCCGGGGGGAACTCGTGATGCGAGCCCGCGGGTTCCTCCCACGGCTGAAGCAACCTGGCCAGGTACAGCACGTCGAATGCCAGGACCGTTGGCAACGCCAGCCCAATCTCAAGATATGCCACGACGATCATGGGCACTCTCTGCGCGGCGCTCAGCACGGCGGACTGGCAGAGCGTCCCTGCGCCGGCGGCCGACGTCAGCGCCGCGATGAGGGGGAGCTGTACCACTGGCGTAAAGCTTCTCGCCAGCCCGCCTTCGCTTCGAATCGACCTGACGAACACGTCTGGTAGGCCGATGCAGGCCAGCACCGCGAGGGCGCAGTTTACCCACCACAGGATGTAGACGGCGAGGCTCCAGCCCCTGCCGCCCCAGGAGGGTATCACCACCAGGGAGAGCATCTGGATGCAGGACATGAAAGCTATGCTGATGCTGGCCGTGCAGGCTGCCTCGGTCGTGTCGGTGGCGATGGACCTGGCGACAACCCGGGGCGACGCGAGCAGCCGCAGGAGAAAGATGGCAAGCATGGCCGCCAGCAGCACCATGTTGAGGAACCAGAATACGATGGAGATTGTGTGCAGCCCGTGGAATTGGTAGGGCAGTTGGTTGAGGACAATGGCCAGGATGCCGGTGCCCTGCGGTATGAGGAACCACCGCGTCGTGAAGGACGTGAATGCCCGCCGCGCAGGCGGGAGTCGCCTGGCGTCTTCGTGATGGACAGAATCGCCGAGGCTATTCATTGTTCGGACCGTCCATGTCCATTTTCCTCCACTAAATGGGTTATTTTGCCCCCTTTATGAGCTTTATATGGCGCTGGACCACAAGCCGGCGCCACCAGCTTCGTCCGTCATCCTGACGTCAACATGGCGGCCATGTCGCTTGGACCAAAACTCAAGGGAGTATTTCTGAGCCTTGGTGTAAAGGTTAGACTGCTTTATTAATGCTTAGTGAACTTTGTTGGGATTTGTATAGCAAGTTTACAATTTGGATATATGCAGTAATAGCCTTCTTGTCGGGAGCCGTAAGAACGCTGCATTGCTGACTGCTCCTGCGTATAAAAGCAGGAAAGATGAGCGTATTCACATGTGTCCCTCCAAGGCAGTGCCTATGTGAACAAAATGACGGTACTAACCCTCACTGAGCTGATCTGCGCCAGAATTAAAAAAAAAAGCATCAACTTGATCTCCAACTGCAGTACGTGCATGTTAGATACGCATGTTATAGAGCGACCAGCCCAGTACTGGTTCTTACAAAATTCTTCCTCCCTCTCCAGGTTCCAATCTCCCTGTGCAGTTATTCTAGGTCCCCAGAACGTTGCAACACTCGGGCTTGCCAACAGGGGCGTGTTCTCCTCCCGCTTTATCGGTTCTATGCGCTTAAAATTAGATAGACTGCCACTTGACAGGAAGTAGACCCTTATTAAGGTCTCTCACCTTGGTTCCTATCCTGATTTCCGACTGGACTTTTGCCACGCCGCGTTGATGGACAGCAGCATGGGCCTTGCCGATCGCATTCACGACTTCATCCCAAGTACCCTCTGCGATAATACCAATTAGTGCTGAAACGGTTTGGAAACGCTTTTCCTAGAAAGCACTAGGAGACTGAAGGCAGGTCGACCTTACCAAGTACTGTTCCCGTTGTCTGCATTGTATGCTTTACCCCGGTGTGTTTGAGAAGTCGCTCTACTTCTGCAAGTTCTTCGGCAATTGAAGCCTCACCAGTCCCAATCTGTTACCCGCGTTACTATACAACTAGATGCAAATCTTGGTCAGTCGGGCTTACGGGAACCAGATTAAAGTCGGCTAGACACTTCGGTGGAGTAGACAGCAAGTTGTAATCCATGACGGACGTATTCTGCTAATCAGTGTCAGACACGATGCGGAGTTTTACGTAGCAATCAGAGTCCAGAGAAGGGGATGAAGAGAAGAGTGCGCATATATACCCATCGCGTGGTGGCGAAATCATCAGCCATCATCAGCCTCCTTAGGTTACGGGGGTACGTGACGCAGTATTGTTGGTGGATTTTATGGTTCAGTTCTGCATGTTTTTCGAATAAGGTTTTGTTGCACACCATTTGACTCCAATGGTTGTTGCTTAAGCTGCGTCTCCAAGGTTTGGGTGGCAATCGATCTACGTAAATATGGCATCAGTTTATCGTCAAAATGTGAAGGTAATGATTGACTGACTGCCTTATCTGGAACTCATTTAATTATCTTTGATATTAAGACCCGTGGCACAAAATGGTTACCTGGTACGCGAAGGCGCTGACGGTGATGATGGTCGATTCACCAGGAAAGCAGCATGAGGGAGGTGATTTTGGTAGGAGCGACCCGAGCTGGATGTAACAGGCCATGCAAGTGATGTTGCAGCAAGTTGTACGTTTTTTTGGCTTCGAAAGATGGCTGCACCTACCATGGCCAAGCTCTGGACGCTTATGCGTTGGCCAAGTGAAGGATTCAAGGGTGTTCTATGTAGAAATCTTGTGCATAAGAGGGCATTTGTAAGATTATGGAGTAATGAGGTACCCTGGACGGTGACTAGACGGTGGCTCCTTCCACAACCGGAAATGAAGTTGCATTCCTTCACTGCATCTGAGGATTGGTGTCAAGATGTTGGACACGGCACCGGCCAGCATCGATCTTTGCCGAGAAACACGTCTTGACCGTGAGGTCAAAGGTGCCCTTTGCGTCTTGTAAGCCCCCATCGGCACAGGAGTGGTCCGATTTATACGGACATTCGTCCAGTTTGTCCTGCATATGGAAAGCTACTCCTCTGTAACGGCCATCGCCGAGATCCAGCTTCTTGTTTTGCGCCCGCATGTCTGAGCTGACTTTTTTGCGCTCAATGATTTTAGACTTCTATAGCTATGCTGATAGAGAACTTAGCAGGCGTTGTCCTGAGAACTATGCTTCACTCAGCCGCCTTGCCAGAGGCTGGGAGCCAGGTTCAATAGAGTGTCGGCAACGGAGCACATCCTCACCAGAATTTTTGGCCTGTACGACCTCAAACTTTAACTTGTGGTATACATTGCCCATCATGCCCATTACATCCCGCATGGGCTCACTCGGCTGCCTGTTGTTGGAAGCGTCCAGACACGTCGCCGCAATCTCCCTCTCCCGCATCTTCAGGACCTCAATCACGGATACATCAATGTACCAATCAGTTGGGCTCCAAAACTTATCTGTGTATCAGCTCATCTGATCTTTCAAAGTCGCCCCAGCGAGGCGCATTCGCGTTTTCTTGCTCTGTCTCATCCCTCGATACAAGAGGGTTACGCACGCCGGTGTCGAGCAGCACGATATGAAGCAAAACACCCTTGCAGTATGTTCAGTCTCCCACCGCTGGACGAAAGTTGAATCCCTTCGATGCCTTGGTCAACCTGGGTTCCTTTGCGTCGGTTATCGTCACAAGCTATGAAGAGAGGCGTAACGAGGAGAGAGAACCGCCTCGTGAGGTCTTCCATAGAGAAGATGCTCTCTGGATCTTGGTGCGTCACTTGCAACTCGTGCATCTCCTAGTCCAGCCACAGGACAGAGCCGTTATTTGCACATATGTAGGCAGTTTGGTGGCGTGAAGCCTGCAAGCCCATGACGTGAATGAGATCGGGTCATGGGGGAAACCAGTCATCTGGTGTATATTAATCTGCTTCGTCTATAGCTAAACACCTGGACCACTTCCACAAGGCCAAAGAGATTCAAAACATCAACTCGGACTCTCGTATGCGTGGAGGAGCTGTCGATCACACTATCAGAGAGACATCAACCTGCTACGAATAGATCTGACGAGTGGGCACACGCGCTGTTCGTGTATGATGGAGAGATGTTGGTCGTCCAGGGTCGGAACAAGCTGGTGTTAGGCTTGGGACACGTTAAATATCACGGTCCACGTCGTCGTATTCACCCCAGGCCCGCTCGACGGAATCAAATAGTCTTGCCGGAGACACCTTTTCCAGAGCCACGGGAACAGGGCAAGAAGCAAGAGATGAGATGGAGTATTGGACAAATCTGGGAAACTATCCTCCAGCAGGATATGAAGCCAAGGAGAAAGTGGACGATCTATATCAGGCTCTCCAGGTGGAGAGGAACAAGACAATTGGCAAGATGTATACAGCATCATGACGATTATTGAACTGGTCCTTCAGCCAGTGTCCTCTTCCAACTCACAAAAAAGCCAACAAAATAAGCTAGCCGAGTTAACAAGCACGCCATCAACAACTCAGCCGCGCTCCAAGCGACATGGACTTTCTGGCCCTGAATATGCTGAGGTCGCCCAAGCTTTCTCTTCCGAGCTGACCAGCACGGAAATGGCTCATGAGGCCGTTGCCTGGTCACTTCGCGTTATTGAGACCGTACTTCATTAGCGGGGCTTCGGAAACAGCAAATGCGCAAGAGCTGTATATAGCGAGCTGCGTATATTCAGTGCGGGTGTGACTCGCGTCCAATTTGGTAAGGATTACTCGGGTTGTGGGTATAAGTTGTAACTTGAGAAGCTTCCAACCGAGCATGTGACGAGATTGGCATGTATAGTGTCAAAAGTAACACAGATGGCAGGATTAACATGCAATGTCAATACATTTGCTGTACCTGCTTATATTTTTCGCTCATTGCTCTCATAAGGCTCACTACAGATCCTGCATCTAGAGTGAAGATGCAGCCATTGTCGACTCAACTTATATCCCTATAATGGCTGAAATGAAGATATTTTCAGAGAATTACAGGCACCTCGATAGAGCAAAACGCTGATATTGATGATGATTGAAGAATTTAGCTGAAAGCCCTGCAGACCCGGAAGATTGGCCCCTTTGATACCCTGTTGGAGCCCCTGAGGACCCCTGCGATGACCCTCATCCAACATGGCAGCCCCAATTTGAACCTTCGAAAAAGCAATTATCGTGACTGGACCCTTTGGACATTTATTTCGCACGTTTTGAACTCAACATATGTGTATCAGCATGAGTCGAATTACTCTTTACCTCCAGTCGTCTAATACTCATAAACGCAGCATATAAATCTTGTACGTTTTATAAACAGCAAGACGAACAAAAGCATAATTGCAATAGGCCGCGAGTGGATTTCGGAAATCTTTTCCGTCTTTGTTCCGAGCTTGCAAAAGCACGTCCCGTAATGACGCCATCTTGGCCCAATTCGTCGGCGCCAGGCCCATCGCGCCAATCGGCACTTCGTCCCATTCAGCCACGGCAGTCGATTGCCGCGCCATTAGTAATGGCCCAAGGAATTTTGGAACCCGCCGAACCGTCCTCCGTTGGTCCGGTTCGCCGCACAACTTGTGATCCGCGCGTGATCCACGCCGGCTTGGTACGCCGTCATCTCGGATGATTTGCACCGGCTGCAAGTCGAGGCGATGAACCTATGCCCGTTGCCGGCAGTCTCGGCGTGACGTTTCTCAAAAACTTTGTATCCACTACCGCTGCGCGTATTCCTAGGGCGCGGCGCAGAAAACTCTCCTGGCGCGTGGAATTTGAGTCAAAATCAACAACTCGTGTTATGAGGCTTTTTACTGTTATTTCCGTGGGCATGACTTTGGGACTAGGTAAGTAGCTTGTTCTGTTTCTGGTACCGACTTCATGCAAGGTCTCGTACAAACGGCCCATGCGCCCTTCTTGAGTGGCAAGACAACAGGGCATGTCGCATACATATGCTTGTTCAAAAGTTTAAGGGTTGCATCCGGCCCGTCTCGGAAATTCGCACGGGGACGTAAATCGCCAATCGCATGAAAACTATAGCCAAGGGCCGCGTAGTACTCAGAGCAACCACCAGTGATGAAAGGCAGCTGCGAGGCCCCCTGGTGGTATTGATATGATCTATTTAATTCACAGCCGCGGCCTAGACAAAAATTTACTCGAAGCCAAAAAAAAAGCAAAAAAAGGTCGCCAAGTCAGAAAACCTATCCAAACATGGAGCTATTCGTGGGCACGTTCAACGTCCCGTACATATACACCCTCTCCTTCGACCCTCTCCTTGCCCATCACACGTCAGTCATGCGACCGCTCCTCACGCCTGGATTTCCTTTGCGCCAAACCAAAAGACGCTGTACGCCGCAGCGTGGGATCCCCCCAGCGTGGCAGCCTACAAAAGCCAACTCGACGGCCCATTCCACACCCTCGAGCCGATAAACACCAAGCCGGTAGCCAATTCGCCCGGTTACGTCGTCGCCTCCGACTCGCATCTGTACAGCGCTGGCGGCGCCACCGGCGAGGCATTCCATCTAGACAGCGACGGCGCCCTGGGCGACCTAGCACAACAGCTTGACTTTGCTAACGGCAGCCCTGGTGGCGTCGCCGGTCTTCGCTCCGGAGCGCACAGCGCCGATCTGAGCCCCGACGGCCGCACGCTGTACGTCGCAGACATCGGGTCGAATGCCGTGTGGACGTTTTCCGTTTCGCAACAAGCCACCGGGTCGTCTGCCCTTCTCACAGAGCAGCAGAAGAACAAGGCGGCGAGGGAGGAGGACGGCCCGCGCCATGCCTGGCCCCATCCAAACGGACACATCTTGTACGTCATCCAGGAGCACTCCAACATGGTGGACGTGTTCCGAGTGAATAGGCGCCGGGACGGAACTGTGCAGGACCTGGAGCACCTCCAGGGCGCGAGTGTTTTGCCACCGGGCAAGAACGCATCCGACTACGCCGCGGATGAGGTCCGCTTCTCGACCGGACCGCCGGGCCACGCCCCTAGATACTTGTTCGCGTCCACCAGGGGCTCTGATGCCAGTCGCAACGGCTACGTCTCGGTTTTTGAACTGGACAGTCAAGGCCGGCTGGTGCGTACGGAGGCTACTGATCTCTGGGAGACACCGACGAGCGGAGGCGGCTCAAACGCGGTTGAGCCCGCGCCGTGGGTGGCCGAAACTTCTTCCGACGTTCAATACCTGGCCTTGACGGATGCCGCCGCTGGCAAGGTTTACATCCTCGGCTTTGATGGGGCCTGTATCTACGAGGTCAGTGAGGTGGCTCTTGAAATACCTGCGTCTGACGGGGACAAGTTTAATGGTACGGTTCAAGCCGCCACGGCCGTGTGGCTGACGCCTGCTCGGGGGCTGATAGAATGATTGATGTCGATTGACGGATTCCAAGAGGCGACTTGGTTCACTGGGAGATGAGTGTCATGGTCCTCAAGAGAGGTCTGCAGTTAGTTAAACCTGGCTGCATAGGGGAGCCAAGGGTCAATGATTCTGGGCCTTCTCAAACTGTTTACCCGTTGCGCTACAGTCGGCTTCTCTTCAATGTTGTCTGCTATCACACGGCAAATGGACCAGAACAAAGGCGTCAGCCACGGCAACGTTGGCCTTGTTCCGTAATAGCAGGATGACGACGGAGACAAGACCGCGCGCCACTGCCTGAAGCAAGGGTGTTCAATCCATGTCATCTCTATCCCTGGATTCGAGGTCAACACTGTTGTCAATCAGCAGCTGTACGGCTGTCGTCCATGGCCATGGTTTGCAGACTCATAGAGGAGGGATTCGACCAGGAGCTTATTTTTATGAGAATCAGAGTAGTCGCAAATATCGTGAATGACGAGGCAAGGGAAGCGGTTCATTAGCCCCGCTGCTTCCATTTCAAAGCATAGCATGTTTTTTTCCCCTTCGCCACTCTACCTGAGCATGTTCTTCGTCAGGAACGGCTATAGCAGCGACATATTCCGGGAGAATCGCACATATCCCACCAATTGTGTAGTCGTCCCTGTCTGGACCTTTCTTCTCTCTAGCGCCGTGTGCAACCCAACATTCTGCATGTCAAACCATATAAGAAATCGTCCTAGCTTTTCGACTTGTTCTCTCTTAACCCGCCGCTGCTTCTCAGCTCGGACTGTCTGTGTGTAGCTGGTCCACGAGCTTCTGGGCAGACTCAGGGCTCGACAGCAAGTCTTTTTCGGCCGATGGTATTTCACCCCTCGTCGATGCTGCCAGGCGTTTTTTAAAGTCCACAATAAAATCTAGCTGCCGCTGGTCGACTATTTCATACGCTCGATGCCATGGCACTCCCCACTCAAAGTCGCTCCTGCCGGATACCTTTGCCTTTACGGCGTCGGGCAGGGAAGGAGCGGAGTTTGGAAAAACGGGGACAGGAGATGTGTCAAGTCGTCTATATCAAGTCTGGTGCTTCATCTTCCGAGTTTGGTGATTTCTGTGTGACGCGTGAGTATAGCTTGTGGCACCTTTAGCCGTTTTCGTTTGGGCCGACGCCGAGCCTTGCTCAAGATTCGCTTCAATGAATTGAAAGATTTGTCATGGGTTAGAAAAATCACCGTGACTTGAGGCGGTCAACTCGATCAATGAAAGCAACAAGATGTTTTTGCCACTTTCTTAGAAAAATTACCTTCACTACACCGTGCCTCGTATAGTCAATGAGTCTCATTTGGATTTCTGCATGTCCCGGATGCGCTCTAATTGACGAAGGTCACTTACATGTCAGTAGTGTGGTAGAAATCACGAAGTGGAATATAAATGTTGAGTTGACAACAGCAATTTGCGTAGTAGAAAACGATGATGTTTTAAGAGGCTTTTCAGGGCTCAATCAATAGCTTCATTAATGATGATAATAGGATTCAGTTGAATGATGAAAAATCCTGCAAATTTGACCCCTTTTATAACCGGTCGGGGCCCGCTACAAGCCCCTTGGGACCCCTGACGGTAACCCTCAATTTTGACTTAACAATAAAATACCGAGAATCGCCTTTAAGTATCTGTACTGTTTCTTCAAGGATCAGGATGCACCTCGCATAAACCCTACAAATGCTCCATGTGCGATATTGCATCAGCTATTCTGCAGCATGTCCACCAAGGCTTTGATACGTTATGCGGAATCCAGTGAAAGAAATGTCAACGGGTGGAATACAGGGCATCGATAACCAAGAAACCAAGAAGTATATAAAATTCAACTGTAACAGGCAGTAGTGGACTTGCCTTTTGCTTGGTGCGGTTAAACCATGACAAGATCTCTAAAGACATTAAGCTTCTCCAGAGTCTAGGCAAGCGCTGAGGGCTCTTGGATGCCGACGGATGAGAGCGTAGACATGAATGGCCCGAGAAATAGCGCTAAGAACGTGTCAAAAGACCACATGTGCAATGTTGACTGAGGACGCCTGCCGTTGCGTCATAGGAGGTGGCCGAGAGAGGCCACATTGGCGTTCTATTGCCGGGAGAAACATCGAACATGCGGCAGTGGGAGAAGCCAGTGCGTTCGCCTCTGAGTGGTCGATTGTGTCGGAAAATACTTATTCTCCCAGGCCCTACGCACGAATAGACTGGGTCTCATATCAGTGTAAAGGGTCTAGATGCTTCCAGAGTCCTGTGGTCAATGCTTGTGAAAGATGAAGAAGTTGCCAAGAAAACAAAAAGAAGATATAACTTACCATATGTGTATCAAATACCAGAACATATTCGGTCGAAGTTGTGGAGGGGAATCTATTCCTTTCTCAACATGCAAGGATGGCGTCCTCTCTGCCGGTCTACACCTACCATTTCAATGACACATGTATGTACACATACATCTATATGCGACAATGGAAACGTCCAACATCAAAAGGACCTAAGTTTGATAAAAGAGGTGATATAAAAGCAACAAAGCGAGTGAAGAACTGGTCGCTCCCATAGTCGATTCGACGTCATCCCCCGGGCCAAAAGTCAAAGGATCGTCGTGGGAATCGAACCCACTCCCCAACAGGGCTGCCAGAACGACCTTTAGGGCGGGTGCCCAAGGTTTTACAACCATGAAGGAATCGGGTTTGCACTCATTAAGGAATCGGGTTTACACTCATTAAGGAATCGGGTTTACACTCATTAAGGAATCGGGTTTACACTCATTAAGGAATCGGGTTTACACTCATTAAGGAATCGGGTTTACACTCATTAAGGAATCGGGTTTACACTCATTAAGGAATCGGGTTTACACTCATTAAGGAATCGGGTTTACACTCATTAAGGAATCAGGTTTGCACCTATGAAGGAATGAAGAAAATTAGGCTTTCGCCCTTAATTCCATTGGACTTTCGCCCGTGAATGTTGAATTGGGCTTTCGCCCGTGAATGTTGAAGTGGGCTTTCGCCCGTGAATGTTGAAGTGGGCTTTCGCCCGTTAATGTCGTGGACTTTCGCCCTTCAATGTATTGGACTTTCGCCCGTTGATCCATCTGAGATACTTGTCGATTCGTAGGGAGAGAAATGATGATCGGCCTGGAAGCTATGGTGCTAGCTGTCCTTGGGCAGTTCGATTTCTGGCCTTCGCATCGTCGAGGGAACGCTTGACTTGGGGTTGTCTCAGTGACCCGTTCCCTTTTGTCGGCATACGGGCTTCCTGGAAGAAAGGTAGATCCTACTATCGTCAGCTCGTCTGATTGGAAAGGAGTGGCGATAAGATCCTACCACAAGCCATTCTGCATTGATTGCCGTAGCTGTCTCCAGATATTGCTTCCCTCCTGATGTGCGGAGCGTTGTGTACACGATCCACTCGTAATCACCACCCACCAGAGAGCTAAGTGGTGCCAAAAGTGCCGAGGTATTCTCATGCACCGTTCGGTACACATCGCCGGAATGATGGATCGCAGTGTGCGTGCAGAAAGCGATTGCTAAAGCCTTCCGTACGCATGTCATATCCTGAACCGATGCGTGGGTGGGGGCGAACTTGGCCTGGCTTTCCATGAACGACCTGAGTTCTTGTCGCTGAAGATAGACCGCTTCTAGCGCCTGAATATTCAAGAAAAAACGGGAGCACCACTCGGCAAGGTCGAACTTTGGGCCTCCTTCTTGCTGATGCAACTGGCGTACTTGCATGTAGGCATTAAAGGCGTTTGCGAGGGTAAGGTGGTCGGATAGCGAGTGTTGGAAGGACTTCATTAAATAGTCTGCAGCCTGCTGGTATTGAGCTGGACGCAAGAAAATGGACGCCTGGGAGCTGCATAGTAGCGCAATATCGACCATTTCCATACAGCAGCCAAGCTTCGCACCGACTTCAATAGCACGGTACCAGATTGGGTCTACGGGACATTTCGCAGCGAGGTGGCCTTGGGCTGCGGTAACCTGGTTGCGTGTGATAGAATCCATTATAGTCGCGACTGGTGGTCTGAGATCTCTTGTGTAATGGTCTTCTGCAAAGCAGCTTGCGAGAAAAAGGTGTAAAGGTGTGAAATTGGGGGTATCAAACGTGCTTTCGAGAACGATGTGTAAGGGTGTGAAAGTGAAGGTGTAAAAGTTTTCTTGTTTGGACTTTTTGTGGGAGAAAAAAACAAAAGGCCCTAAGAGCAATATATAGAGATGTGAGCAGATGCCAACTGAGCAGACGGCGGCTGGCCGGCGGCTGGCAGCTCGCAGCTGATAGCATGACAAGATCCCAAGGCCAATATAGAGTGAATTGCTCGGTGGGCTTACTCTTTTTGCTAGGTGCGGTCACCCTCTTGATAGCTAAGTATTTATCGTATTTAACCTTTTTTAATATATTATAAACAGATAATTTATAATATATTTACTTATAATAAAATATATTATAGTATTTAACTTAATATTTAAGCACTTAGCAGTACGTAAGCGTACCTAGCAAAAAAAGTAAGCCCGCCAAGTAATTTATAGTGCACAAGCTCAATAAATTTTATGTAATATTTAGACGGCTAGCTTGTTGGTTAAGGGCTGACAAGCCGTCACACTGATCAGTGCCCTTAGGAGTGTCAGGACTCAGCAGAGGGTGAAACCAGATCTAACCAGCACTGAGACCAGTTGACCCTACATATGTACCAGTAGGGGCCGCTGAGCCCTGGCCAATCATACACAGGTTATTCATCAAATCAGGCAAATGGCATATGTAGGCATAGCTGCCTAGATGAATAAGAAAACACTAGCGCCCAGATTGTAGTAGTGGAAAGATGATGTCAATAATGTTTGGTGAGTCACCTCAAAGCTGTACAAACATTGAGTGACAGCCAAGTCCTTTCACTTTTGGAATTCGACTGCCGGCTGTCAAACCGTTGACCCCTCCAAGGCAGCAGCAATGCCGAGTAGTAAGTACCACAACTTGGGGAAGCACTGAAGAGATTGTGAGTCAGCCCGAGTTGGAACGACCCATTTTAACGCTCCATTTGTGGGCTGCCATTGCATCGTCGAATCGTTGATTGGACAACAAGCCAACAGCATATTGCCCAATTTAGAATCGCGCCTTACTCACCTCCACGACGACAGTGCACAGTCTGTGACAGAATACATCTGCCCGTCGAGAAGTATATACTAATCTGCTGTAGTATATTTTTTTCTCGTAGCGCGATGGCCAAGTACCTGGTCTGCGTAAATACTTTTTCTCTCCCACTGTATAATTGGAAAGAGCTCTGGATGCACGAACCACATCTAATCATAGTGCCAAGATATATACGCGTCAATTTCCCCCATTCAACTCTGTGGCCCGGCATCAAGAATCTTTCCTGGCGGCAACTTACTGTCGATGTACATTCCTCAACTGTTACATCGCTTCAACGCCACGGAATATCGCAACTCGTCAACTACATGATGGAGTTGTTCAGCTCTGGCAACTTCTCCTCACACGTAGAGGACCTGATGAAGAAATACCATGTCCCTGGCCTTGCTATTGCCATTACCCACGATGGTACCATGGCCTCCAAGGCCTTCGGGATGGCCTCATTCGAACCCCCAAAGCCAATGACCACCGATACTCTTCTTGACATTGCTTCCGCTTCCAAGTCTCTCACTGCTGCTTCTGTTGCCCTGCTCGTCCATGACGACAAGCATCCCGACATCGAATATGAGGCCGAAATGGCCGAACTATTGCTCGGCGAGTTTGTCATGCCTGGCCAAGGCTACGAGGGCGTTACCGTCGAAGACATCCTCAGTCACCGGAGCGGAATGGCAGCGTGAGGACACCTTTCCTTCCCCCTTTCGCCAATCCATGATCTGTGGCTAATTCCTCATGGCAGCCATGACAATTCATATTTTGGCGTCAGGTCCAACAACCCAGATACCGCGCAGTCCCTCACGCGAAATCTCAGGAACCTGGCACCCGCAGCCCCAGTCCGTTCCAAATTCATCTACTGCAACATCATGTACACCGTCGCCACGTACCTGGTGGAGAAGAAAACAGGTCTCAGCTTCGCCGACTTTCTCGAAGAGCGCTTCTTCCAACCACTCGGCATGACCTCGAGCAACCTGCAGCCGGGACGCGCGCGGGCCAAGGGACTCGGAGACCGTATTTCCCCCGGACACTGGTGGGACGAGACGGCCGGCAAGTACTTGACCTTCATGACCCCCGATTCCCCCGAGGCACAGGGCGCCGGCTCCGTCGTGTCCTCGGTCAACGACTACATCAAATACGTCAAGGCAATGATGAACAAGGAGGGCCCGTTCACAGAAGCCGTTTACCAGGGGATCGTGAAGCCGCGAATCATCATCAGCCCGGATGAGGCCCCGAAACCGTTCTCCTCGCCGCCGCTGTACGCGACAGGCTGGGAGGTGCACCACTACCGAGGCCACATGATTTTCGTTCACGACGGATGCATATCCGGCTCCTCAACGAGCCATTTCTTCGTACCGGAACTGAGATTCGGAGGCGCCATCTTTGGCAACTCGGACAGTGCGTGCTTCGTCGCCGAGATCCTGATGCAGGAATTCCTCGACGAACTCTTAGGCGTGGCCCAGGACCAAAGAGTCGACTGGGACGAGGTGGTGCACAAATTGATCCCAGAGAAAAAGATGGGCAGCGCGGAAAAGGTAACCGAGGAGGAGCTGCAGAAGCGTTGCCCTGGTATAAAAGAATTAGAGCCCCAAAGCGTGCCCCTGGACACTTATACGGGCGAATACCGGAATCCGGGCTGGGGATCCCTCATGATGCAGATCAGGGACGACCGGCTATTTATTGACTGCTCGGATCGATCTTATGTCTTTACACTTACCTTCCAACACTTATTCGAGCAGAAGAAATACATCGCTCTTTACAGGGAAGTGTCGCAAGGTCCGAACCAGCCAATGAGTGCCGAGTTCAGGTTTGAGGGCAATGTTCCCATTCAGCTGGGCATTGAGATTGACGAGGATCTGGAATGCATCTGGTTTGACAAGGTGCAGGAAGACGGACCAGAACCCGTCGTCACTCGCCCCAAGGGCACCGCGGCTTGAAGCGCTTGGCCTTATTCCGGGCATGTGTTGACTTGACTGGCACCAATCAACGAATGGGCTGCCCGCGCCGACACGGACCTGCCTTTTTCTTTTCATCTTGTTCTCACAATCCGTCGACGGATACATCCCCCGAATTCCATAGGGAGAAATCAGTTGCTGCCCAGGGGCTACTCGCAGCCTTAGCCAGATTTGGCCTCTGTACATAGAGTTTTCTAGCTGCCATAGTTATTATTAATGACGAGCCTCTAGAATATTTCCTCTATTTGCTCTTAATCAACACCGACAGTAGCAATTATTCTTTTCATCTCAAGTGCCCTATCAACGGATAAAGGTGGCACTGAATGGCGTAGCCTCGCGGCGTCTTCCCCGGTGAACAGCTAACGCGGCGTCAACACCTTGGACATTCTCTCCAACTATCGCAACACGACGACAAAGAACATCCTCACGTATGCCTTGTTAAGAAAATATATCCGCATTATCAAGCCGAGCAGCCTATAAGAAGGGCACTGACCCTGCTCAGCTGGTGACCTTTGGCATGTCACCAGGCAAACACGGAAAGGGTATAAGCAAAACGCACTCCAACAGTCGCAATAGTCTACAGCTGTGCTTCTTGGACATTGAAGGATCAAGTGGTCCGGTAATGCCATCAACTTTGCGAGAATACATGCATTCTTCTTTCACCGCCGAGCAAAAGCCAAGCACCACTTGGCACGGCTAGCGTTCAGACTTATGGACAGAAGTTTTAATAAACCTCTGGAAGATCATGGAACCCTTTGAATGCCAGCATGCAACTCTGGTCGAGCCCTTTTCATGCCGTCGCCAGAGCATGGGAGAGCATGGGGAAAACCAGCATCAAGTGGCGCAGTACACTCTGGATGAACTTGAAGCTGGCTCCGACTTCTCCCTCTCCGACGTTGCTATCGCATACAAGACGTCTGGTCACTTATGCGGTCTCCAGGATGTGACGTCACATCAAACTGTACACGCCGAAAGTAATGCGCTGGGCTACGGCACCTTGACGAGAGTATATAAAGTTCGTCGTCCCTTGTGCACCCAGGGTACTCCTCCCTCACAGCTGATCGTTGAATCTGCGGCCGGGGCTCATGCTGCCGGTGGTGGGATGACATGGCGGAAAACTGTGCGATCAGAAGAATAGGGAAGCTGCCTAACCGTTGGCGTGCCCAAGACCACCCGATGCACTCATCACCAGCTTTGCCCCATATGAAAGCGGCTTCACAAACAGCGATGCAATGTCGTTGGTCGTATACAACGTAGCCACCGATGTAATGCACAGACTACAAATGTATGCCCAACCGCGAATAGTTTGCCATGGAGCAACTGGGTGTTGAAGTGTAGTTTGATCATTTTTGCGGCAAGCCCGGCACCCGGCACCCGGCCACGGCACAAGTCCAGCTCCGGCTACACAGATAGACTCTTGTGTAGGCATCAAGGTACCTGTTGAAGACTGCATTCACTTGCCTCTTTGGAGTACGACCAAGTATGGTCCTCAAGTACATCGAGGAATCTGTCCTGATGCGGCAAAACACGCATGGGCAGCCATCCACACCAATATCGCCGCGCAACGTCGGTAGGCAACGCCTGCTGGGACTTTTGGCTTTCAGAAACTTGCCTGTGAAGAAACCATGTTTCACAGTCCTCTTTATTCGCCGTGTAATGCATATGCGCAACCCCGCAGTATGTATGTGTCCGGAAAGAGCGAATAGAGACCAACAGCCTTTGGGCCGCATGTGAGTCGGTGACAGTCTGAGTGGCTGGCTGAAATGGACGCTTCCTCAAACATGCAGCAACTTGTCCGATGTTGTCTCATGACTGCAGAAAGAGACTACAACATCATGGCCACGGCTATTCCGGACGGCTGAAGCGGGGGAGATGCTGTCGGCCCGTGTATAAAAGCCTCTTGCGGCCACGAGCTGTGGACAGGCTTGACCAAATGCTCCAAATCATCTTCCCTCAACAGAATTTTTTGGAAAAGGTCGCCCCCATTGGCCTGAATTTCGAAACACATTCACATCACAAGACATGCCACGCACTGCTGCAGTCATGGCGCCTGTAGTTCATGTGCCATACCGCCACGGCGGCTGGCTGCCCAAGAACCGCGTCATCATGATCGACTGGCTCAAGCACCTGGTCAAGGAAGTCGACAAGAGACGTGAGCCTCTGACTCTTCCCAATGAAGTCGAAGACCTTAGGAAACTGATTGAAAGCCGCCCCGATCTCCGCATGTTGGCGTCCGCCATGCTCTCCGAGGTTCCAAACAAGGAGCCTTACCTCTCTGATCCGGTTGGCAACAAACAGATTCGAGACATCGACCATCTTCTGCAGCTCTTCGGCGTGGTCATGACTACGATAGCCCCCGAATGGAGCCAGAAGGGGTACGATGTTGGCCTTATTGGGTTCCCTTTCAACACCGTTCTTGACTGGCCCATGGCCACGCCCAGCGGATATGCGTTTTTCCTAAATGATGATGTTAACGAAAAGCTCAAGGCAATTTTGAATACTTGGAAACAGGAGGTTCTAATGACCTCGGACTCGCTGTACGTCATCACCACTAAGGAAAACATGTGGCTCAGCGAGCCGGCACTCAAGGCCATTGAGAAAGACACAAACGTCGATGGAGTAGACCGCAAATTCCCAGAGCTTTTCATTTGCGACCCCGAGGGCGACCCTGACCATTGGGGGTTCAAGTCCTGGGACGACTTCTTCGTCCGTCAGTTCAGAGACATCGACAAGCTCCGCCCCGTTGCGTCCCCTAAGCAGCCTGAAATTTTAGCCAACGCGTGTGAGTCGAGAGCATTCCAGAGGCAGATAAACGTCCAGAGGCGCGACAGCTTCTGGCTCAAAGGCCAGCCATACTCGCTCTCCGAGATGCTCGACGGCCACTCCTGGACCGAAGACTTTGTCGGCGGCACCGTCTACCAGGCCTTCCTGAGCGCCACCTCCTATCATCGCTGGCACTCGCCTGTCGCGGGCAATGTCATCAGAACAGAAGTCATTCGCGGGACATACTTCTCGGAGCCTACCATCACCGGCTTCTTCGACGGCAACCACCCCGACCCGGCGGCGCCGGATCAGGCTCAAGCGTACATCACTCACGTCGCCGCCCGGGCAATTTTCTTCATTGAGGCGGAGCCCCCGGTTGGCCGAGTGTGCCTCGTCTTTGTCGGCATGGCGGATGTATCGTCGTGTGAGATTTTGAAGAAGTTCAAAACGGGTAAACCCACGCGTGTAGAGAAGGGCGAGCAGATTGGCATGTTCCATCACGGAGGCTCGACTCACTGCGTGGTTTTCCGCAAGGGGATCAAGATTGACTTTGTTCCGGAGGCTGATCCTGAGACAGCTAAAAAGAACCTTATGCTTCGGGCCAAGTTGGGCACTGTGACGGAGGTTTGACGGTGCTCGGCGCGTTGAAGCCTTGGGGGGGTATTCACGAGTTCCAGATTTGTCTTGCTGAAACAGAAAAAAAGCCTCTTTCATAAACTGTTTTTCTTTTGGCGTATGTGCCTATCCAGCCAATCCAGGCCTATCCAAGTACTTGGCATGGCAATTGACCGAACAGAATGTAACCAAGATGGGCCCAAGTAGTTTAACTACCTAGGTAGTATAACTGTCGGTTCTACATCCAAGTTCTGCAATTTTGTCCACCGAGTTGGTATCACTGGGCAATATTTACCCGACTCACTTCACAGGCAGGCTGCTGGTCCTAGAATGAGATGAGCACAGACGTCAACTACTTTTCCATGTATGTATGACAGGAAGCCTTGGCGGGTCCTCGAGCTACTACAGATCCGCTTTCATTATGAAAAGGTTACTGTCACCTACCCAAATGAAGTTTCGGAGTATACATCCTGGTGGACGAAGACGGTTGGGAGGAATGACAGTTGAACCTTTCCGCCTCAGAGGGGTTTCCTGGGCATTTCTAGACTCGAACTAGCAAAAATGCGGCCACAGTCCCATACTATTAGGTGGACAGCCGCGTATCATAAAACCATTTTAGAACCTTGATCAAAGCGACCCTGTTGGAAAATTTTCTCTTCCAAGTAAATACAATCCTTTCAAATTCACAGCGGCTTTCTTAGCCACGGTATGTATGGTATCTCAAGTGACTAGCAACTCTGCATAGAGATCTGGGAGGTCATCCATATTATTATCAATACGGTGAGATCTGCAATCGGTACCAAAGTCTCATATACCATCGCTGACAGGGGTTCCATTGTAGACTAATTATATCAGTTCTCGCATCCGCAAATTGTATGCTAGCGAACATACCTTTTCGACCATGAGCGACGTAGTAAACGAAAGATATGAACATAAACCCGACAAGAACGACGGAAGCATAGTTCATAGATACCACGGTTACTGGCAAAGCCGCAGGCATACTGAAAAGGACCAATTGAAAGGCGACCCAGGCAATGGAGACGACGTTGACAAAATATCCGATGAAACTGGGACATCTCCATCGAGCAGTTGACACGGCCTTTCGTCCTGTGGATAGAGAAATTGCAATGACTATAGCGTATGCTGCAGCAAGTGCGATGACTCCGCAAGAAGCAAAGGCTGTGAAGGCGCTCGTGCTTCCTAAATTGACAAGACCAAGCAACATTTGAATCACTGTCAGCAGTGCTAAAGCTGCAAGAGGTACTTGATCACCAATTAGCTTCGACCATATGCTTGAGAATGGGATTGCTCCATCCCGCGCAAATGCCCAAAGTGTTCTAGAGGCAGCCGTGGAAATACTGATACAGCAAAATACTGCAACACCCAGCAGGAAGAACATGAGGGCTAAGCCTCCCCCCGGGGTGCCCATTACAGTATGGAAAACATACGGCATTGCTTGTGCTTGAGGGGCGTTCAATATGTCCTGAAGAGGGGGCATCTACAAAGATGTCAGTTCAGCAGACTCATATCCAGACTTTATCATGCAACTATGTGAACGAACAAAAACGGAATAGGAAAAAGCAAAGTACCAAGCGTCATTTGCTGTTTTAGCTAGGCATAACTGAGAAAGTATGGCCTCGAGCAAAGAAGAAAAAATAAAATCGTTTGATAAAGGACATGGCTTACCGTAAAGCATATCGGAAGGATGAAGAACAGACCTGCGACCCCAGAAATAGGTACGACGAGACTCAGCGCTGTGGGAACGTCTCTGGCTGGGTCCGCTACTTCTTCCGCCATCGACGTGATCATGCCTATTGCTGAAAAAGTGTAGGCCGTCGGAAGCAGGCCAATAAAGAAGGTGAAATTGCCCCATCCAGAGAAACTCTTGTCGTAGTTGGCGAGGGCGTCGGCCACACTATGGCGTCCCGCATTGGCAGTCGCCGACAGTGCGACACAAACGATCAGAATAGTCAGGCCGTTCCATACCGATGCAACTGCATCTACGTAAGGGAGGAGCCTGTTTCCGAATGCGCAGATAAGAAAAGTACCCAGGCAAACCGCATAGAAGATAAGCAGCAGTTGCCAGTCGGATGCTAGCCAGTCCGGATGGTAGATGGTGGCCGTGCCGGCAATGAGTGATGCTGTGCCAAAGTTCACGCTGAGGCAAATGGTAATATTGCCAATCAGCCAAACCCAGCCCGTGATGAAGGAAAAGATAGTCCGGGAACGACCTTCGGGAAGCAGCTGAAATGACCAACTTAGTAAGTTGTTAGTTGTTTATGTATTTGCATTTTGACCCAGGGTTTAGAGGCTCCTACTAAGACGGCCCAGATGACGTTGGGAACTTCGATGCAAGCTCACTCAGAGAGACGGCGACACACTGATCAAGTAGACAGACAACAATCCATCCCACAAAGTATGCTAGCTGGCCGCCGCCGTAAATTGCGCTGGTCAAGGCAGTACCCTCACCGAATGGTACAGCAGTGATAGCAAGCACCTGAAATAAGATAGTGTAGAGGGAGCGATTTCGACGAAGTTCCGGCTCATATCCAAGTGCAACTAGCTCGTTGTCCTCTTTGCGCTGTTGTGTGCTGGAAACGAGGGCTCGTTCCGCTTCTGAGAGCGACGCCTTCTTCACGTTTAACGCATCTGACATTGTCGTTGTGCCAAGCTGAAGGGGTGCAGGCTGTTGAGTAGAGGTCAACGTGTGCAGACGGTAGGTTTCTTATCATGTCGCTCATGCTTTTGGATCCCGTACTCCGTCCTCTTAGATGGAATGAATGCGTGAGGTATCTGAGCCGTGCGAGCCGCATGCTAGACGCCACCATGCACTAGCATGCAGTGCCCAAATGTATCCCAAAATTGGCAGGGTAACTGATGGGCCATGGCAACCAAGTTACAAGTTAATTGGATGGCGCGCAACGAATCGACAAGACTTGGACGGAGAACGCCGGGCGCAATGTCACCACATGGGGGCGCTCGGCGAGCATAGCGGCCCCAACCAGACGAGAAGATGTATGGCGATATGCACGATGAATGAAACGTAGGAATCGAAACGGGTCTTGCGCATGGCATAGTACATCCGGCCCTGTTAACCCTAATTCCTGCTTTCTCCCTATTCATTAAGATGCTGACGCCTCGCATTTTCAGGCGTTCGAAAAGCTTCCGGTTGTCTTCAACGAACTAAGGCTCTTATCGGCTGCATCAACGATAGCCAGCTAGAAGAGAAAGGCCTTCTCCGATAACGAAGAAAAAAAGTCCCACCAATTCTTATTCGTTGCTTCTCGGGCCCAGGTTTCTCTCAAGAAATCGGCCATCAACTGCATATTTCCGAAGCTGAGATACGAACTGCTTGGGGAGAGTGCCTGAAGAATGGCCTGACGATCCTGGGCCAAGGTACAGTGGCTGCCAATGACCAACATTGGGAAGATAACACAGTGACGCATGATCCCTGGAAGGTTTGGATCAATCACCTTTTCAACTCCGCGTCGAGCTGCTGCCTGGACCACCTCGTCGTCTGCAGGCCGCAATCGCAAAGCCCTTTGCAAGTATATGACTCCGCAGATTTCGTAAATTGAGCAGAAAGTTGCCCATGGAGAAGGTGAGGACGTATTTGTTCGACCGAAATACTCGCTGTTATTCTGCATACCCCTTGAATCGAAGATAGCCTCGATTCTTGTCAAACATTTCGACACCAGGCTTACGCTGTCGAGAGGCAGATTAGCATGGACTAAATGGCCAAGTGACGCCATGTCTGCGAAGGCTGTTAGAATCTCCAAAAATCTGTCACCAGCTGGCAGTCTGCCAAACCAAGTCTGCAGACCGGAAAACATGACCCATATGGTGGACTGGAAGAAGGGTTTATCGCCACTGAGCAAGGCATGTACGAGATCCATGGTGCCATAAATCGACAGCAGGTGAGCTTGCAGACCGTCTTGTAGGAGCATTCTTGTCGGGGTGTTCGGCCAATTGTGTAATATAGCCCAACCGCCGCGTAGATGGCATGTCGAAGCGTTGTGCTCGTCAGAAGGCTCTATCATGCCATCGAGCATACAGAAGAGGATATTAACGGCAAAAAGCATCTGCACAGAGCCATCAGATTGCAAGCCTTGTTGCAAACACCGTCGAAAGGCCTCAATCGCAGTATACCGGGCGTTTTTGCGGACAGCTGTAACATCGTATACATCCACTTTCGAATAGCGAGCGTAGTGTGCTTGAGAAACCGCCGTGACGGCTTCAAGGAGTGACTCATTTTGCAGCACGTCATCCAAGTCCCATTCTATCGACTCGTTGACGACAAAACGAGGCAGGACGACATCAGAAAAATACAGCCTCAGTTCACTTCTATCCAGGGGCTGGGTACTGGGAGAGACCGAGCCTGGCAGACTCAACCCACGGAATGCAGAAGGATTGCCGACACTGGCGAGACGTCTACGGGACGAAATGCCCCCAACCCATTTGATAGGGGGAGTGGCGCTGTATGAACAAGGCTGCTCAGCATCGAGACACCGCGTACACGACGGTTTTCGGATATCGCATTTGACCCGGCGTTTTCGACAAGTCCAGCATGATCCCTCGACGACTCTGCTGCGCCGAATCGAGGGTTGTAAATCCCGGTTGGCCGACGAAGGGCCGGAAGGGCTGTCCATCGAACTCTCTGCGGTTACCAAAAGAAGTAATGAATTGGTACAAGGTTTGTGAATTGTAGGAACACCGACATATGAGGGTCTAGCCAAGCTTATGCCAGTTTGGAAATACACGATGTGCGAGTAACGGGATCCATATTGGTTGAATGGCAAATACTCTCCGTGAAGGGGTCAGTGGGCCGTGCCTGTGCCATACATTGTACAGCCGAGACCTGTGATATTGGACAGATGGGCAGGCGCAAGCAGCACCGGAGCTACCCCGCGTTACATTATACCCCGCCTTCCTGCCTAGTTTTTAGCCAGATACGGTTAGCGCCCAGCCGGCACCTTGCCGCACCTTCAGCAGAAGTCAAGCCGACTCCACTGCGAGTACAACTTGACGACGTCCACAATGTCGTAACCACGATTGGTGCAAACCCGTGTTGCATATGTATCTCGACCATGGCGTTTTCGCCCGCCGATGCATCTGGTAAAAATGGACGACGTCCCGCAAGAATAACTTGCCTCCTCCCAGTGACACTTCCTTCGACATTCTACAGTGTACACATCCCCGAACCACAGCCTCCAAGCTGATACGGCCATGTCGACTATCAACATCACTCTTCCAAACGGAGTCAAGTACGAGCAGCCTGTTGGCTTGTTCGTCAATAATTCATTCCAACATGCGTCTGGAGACAAGTTCGACGTTGTCGATCCTGCCACTGGACAACAAGTACTCAGCGTAGCTGGTGCGTCTGTGGCTGATGTCAACACAGCTGTAAAAGCCGCTCGCAAAGCATTTGAAGGGCCGTGGTCAGAGTTGGCCCCCGTGGAGCGAGGCGATTTTCTCATGAAGCTGGCCTCCCTCATCGACCGCGATCGAAAACTTATAGCTGCCATTGACGCTTACGACTGTGGCAAACCTTACTCTGTCGCGCTTGAAGCAGACCTGGAAGAGTCTTACAATGTGTTCAAATATTATGCCGGGTGGGCAGACAAAATATATGGTGACACAATTGACACCTCTCCCGCCAAGTTTGCATATACTGTCCAGGAGCCACTAGGAGTTTGCGGTCAGATCATTCCTTGGAATTTCCCTTTTATGATGCTTGCTTGGAAGGTTGCGCCTGCTCTGGCGTGCGGCAATGTGGTGATTGTGAAGCCAGCAGAGCAAACTCCGCTGTCCGCCATGTATTTTGGCAAGTTGGTCCAAGAAGCCGGGTTGCCGCCCGGTGTTGTTAATGTTGTTCCCGGTCTTGGGCCCGTCGCCGGAAAGACGTTGGCCGAGCACACTGACGTTGACAAAATTGCATTTACTGGAAGCACAAATACAGGCCGTGCAATTATGCGATATGCAGCAACAAATCTCAAGAATATTACTCTCGAATGCGGTGGCAAGAGCCCTCTCATTGTCTTCGAAGACGCTGATTTAGATCAAGCTGTTAAATGGGCCCATGTCGGCATCATGGACAACTCTGGTCAAGTCTGCACTTCTACGTCCCGAATTTACGTACATGAGAAGGTTTACGATGAGTTTGTCAAAGCTTTCACTGAATTCACTAAGAAGAGTACCGTCATTGGGAATCCTTTCAAGGAAAATGTCAACCACGGGCCGCAGGTCTCCAAGAACCAATTTGATCGTGTTCTCTCCTATATCGAGGCGGGTCGCAAAGAGGGTGCCAGGATCCTTACTGGCGGTCTCAAGGTTGAAGGAGAAGGGTACTACATTCAGCCGACCATATTCTCAGAAGTAAGTACAGTGAGTATAGTATATCATTTAATTCTACATTGACATACAATTATCATAGGCGAGCGAAAATGCAACGGTTGTTCGAGAGGAGATATTTGGCCCCGTGGTCGTGATCGGCAAATTTGCAACCGAGCCAGAAGCGATAGCCAAGGCAAACGACACATCATACGGCCTGGCGGCAGCTGTATTCACAGAGAATATTTCGAGAGGTCACAAAGTCGCGAGAAAACTGCAGGCTGGAATGGTTTGGGTCAATTCGTCAGGGGATTCGCATTTTGGTATCCCGTTTGGCGGCTACAAGGCTTCGGGCATCGGCAGGGAGCTTGGAAAATATGCACTCGATGCATACACGCAGACAAAGGCTATTCATGTCAACTTGGCAACGAAGCTGTGATTTTGTAGGAAAGTGGCTAGAGTATCCTATCAGTGTCTGGTCAAAAAAATGGAGAAAAAAGGCAGACTGCAAAAATTAATGATATACGACTCGGCTTCAAAGTACTATCAACAGATTCTCATCAGTAGCTCTACAAACCAAGGCATTCCTTGTACACCCGTAAACCGGCATCCAAGCACCGACACAATGCGCCATTGGCAGCTGCGACGGAGGTTCAAAAATTGAACCTCCTGCGAATTCAACACAAAGCAGGCTGCTGCATTAGAATTGTTAAAGCGGGAAGGTAGTATAGAGAAATAACAACCGTCATCTTCTGCCCGTGGATACTAGCTCGTGAGAACACTTGAGAACAGGACAACCTCTAAGGGCAGAAACCTCTTCAAACTACATACACTCTCTTCAGTCATCAAGCCTAGCACTGGCTCCGTTTCCTTTGAGGCTACGCTACCAGGAAGTATTATATCATAAACTTCGCTTCCAAAATAGTATAATAATGGCCTGGTCAGACTATTCCGTTTCTAGTACAGGCACAAGATGCCTACAACGCTCGAAACGCATAACCCAGAACACTTTTTCCATCATACTTGTGAATCGATACCTATTCTGTATAGATCAGCTCTCCCTGGCCCCTGTGCTCCCATTAACTTTTAGCCCCTGTCACAAATTTCTGCTCCATTACAGATGATGACCGGCAAATAACCAAGCTTTCATTGATTCCTGTTATCTACCTTTGAGGCATCAACAAACTATGTTGCAAGACCAGCCAGCAACATCAGGACTGGATACCTAGTTCGCTCCTTTTGCGGCCGTCTCGTTGCCCTGTCCATTACCTTGTCCATTGCCTTGTCCATTGCCCTGTCCATTGCCCTGTCCATTGCCCTGTCCATTGCCCTGTCCATTGCCCTGTCCATTGCCCTGTCCATTGCCCTGTCCATTGCCCTGTCCATTGCCCTGTCCATTGCCCTGTCCATTGCCCTGTCCATTGCCCTGTCCATTGCTCTGTCCATTACCTTGTCCATTGCCCTGTCCATTACCTTGTCCATTACCCTTGCCCTTGGCTTTACCCTTTCCTTTCCCCTTCCCTTTTCCCTTCTGCTTGGCCGCCTCATTCTGTGCTGCCGCTGAGTTCTGGGCGGCGCAGGCGCCAGCGGTCTGAGTCGCATTCACAGCAGCTATCTGGGTAGCAGCCTCGCCATTTGCATTGGCATTATTATTGGCAACGTCTCCAGTGTTCTGGCTATCCCCTTCTAGAAGTAGCGCATCTCTTATGTCAAAATCTCTCTCTACGAGATCATGTTGCTCTCCGTTGAGGTCCCGCTCGACGTTGGAAGGCGCTGCCAGAGCACTGTGGAGGAGGTAGGGAAGAAGAATAGTAGCGAAAGTGAACTTCATTGTGTTGAGCAACAAGGAATGTTATTGAATAAGTCGAGGTGTCTTTAAAGAAATAATTGTAGTTGTGTGTGGGCTGATGCTTCCGACATGTGACTTGAGAATGGGATTAGGCATGTTATTTATATTCATCTAGGCAAGCCTCCAGGGCAGCAAAGGCTGGTCGACACTATAGAAGCGATGACGCGGCGACAACATAAGATGAAACCAATATACGTAACGGGAGACGTGAAGAGCTGGTCACCGTCACAGGAAGTCTATTACCAAGTCGCCTGTGGCGTAGGCGCTGCGACCAAGAGGCGCTGATTTTCATCACATATTGAAGCGTTGCTCCGGTCTCTAGTCCGGTAACTCCTGGATCCGAAAGCCGTACAGCTCACCACCCTAGCTGTACAGAAACATGTAGTTGTGCAGAACTGGACGGCAAGTCGGCGCGGCTGCGACGGCTCGTGTCCAGGGCTGGCTGGGGTCGCAGGTTCCTGGCTTGAACGTAGAAAAATAATACATCATTCAAATACATACATACTTGTCAAGCCAGCGACTTGTTTGACACAAGTTGGGCCAATGTCCATTCAGGCCAAAGCGCCATCTGATCAAGGTCCGCACACACAGCTGAGGGTTATAGTCGGTGTCGTGTATGAGCCGCCAGAACAAAGTAAAACGAGTTGAATATTTCACATGGATCTATTTTCGTACGATCTGATCTCTTGGCATGCCTTGACATGCCTTGGCATCAATCTCTTGATCGGCACTCGGCAAGGGTTGCGAAACAACCCCCAAACACGTGGCGTGATTCAGGCTATCCGCCTTCTGGCAATGTCCAACGGGAAGCCCAGCACAGTTCAGACGACATCAAAATGGCGCGTGGATTGTTACAGCCAAAGCAGTATCAGGGCCGATGATTTTGTCCTGGTCCCTGGTGCGCAACTCCATAGTTCGAGGAAATTCCATACAGGGCGGACGGGGTTCAAATTTGCCCAAACCACCACCTCTCGTTTCACGCTACTCTTGTTGCCAAGTTCGTTCAAGCTTTTGGTGCGCCCAAGGCCCAAGAGGATCAAGAAGATCCCGATCAATAGTCGCTAGTTTCATTTCCCGACATGGTGTAACTAGAGGCGGTAAGCAGACCTAGAATCTCGACGGTTGTAACTTGTCGCAGTTGTTCAGATAGAGAGGAGCAGTCAGAGGCAGCCAATTGGATACAACAGTTATGTGTCTGTAGTAGACTTGTATATTCATCCATGGCATAACGCTGTATATGGCGGTCTCACTTATATTCGATGGCGACAGTTTCATCGCCGGGCTCAGCCTCAATTGTTCCTTTAAATATGGGCTAGTTCACATACGCGAAATGCCGCAGGGCTTTCGGAACTGGGCTAAACTCAAAACCTGGCAGCCGTTACTGAGGGGAAGTCTGTAAAACCATGTTCTTTAGCATGATGAGTCAAAAAAGCCATTGGTCTAGGCTCTGAATCTCACACGTTTTTTGATACATTCCCCATGTGCAATAAGCCGTTGTGTGGCCTAGCCTGCAGAATGCGGCTTCCAAAGAATACAAATATCCGATCTGTGACAACGAATCTTGGACAGCATGGGCATGAACATGATATTTATCCTTGTGTCAACGCCGCATCCATTGGGGGGGCTCTGGACGATCCTTTCCAACTCGGTAGCAAGGTTGAGGCCGACAAGTCCGAATACAGACCAGGAATACGAGCAGGTTCGGCTGGTCGGTTAGCCGACTGTGTTCCTGGGACAATCAAAGTATCCAAGGTCTCGACAGGGAGAGGCTGTGAACATGTCGGTTCCAATCATTTGACTGAATGTCTGTCAGTAACACTTCTTAATATAGATCTGTTTGCTTCTGTGGACTTGCTTGGGCAATTGTGCTTGCAGTCCAGCCCGTAATGACATAATCCTAATGACATAATCTCGAGTCTAGAAACTAGACAAAGGGGCATGAGATATATAAAGCCGCCAAGGTTTTGAAGATCCGAACTCTTTGGCAAGTCAGGAGCTTTGCCCAAGCGCAGTATTTGGTCAAGGTAAATCCCAGCTGAGTCACTCATTCATGTCCAATTTAACCCATAAGTGTTGACCGTAGCTTGCCTCGGACAACACATGTCATGTCAGCGAAGTCAGAACTTCACCGCGTATTTTTCATCCGTAGCCTAAATCAGTTTAAGTACGGCTGTAAATAGTCACATACCGTGATGCAGCGCATAATCTTTTCGATCCCTAAGGGTTCTCAGCTCTTATCTCAGTCGTCTTGCCTCTCGTCCCTCTCGTCAGTATCTCAATGGCCTCTGGGGAATTCTCGTCTCCTTGAGCTGAAGTATCCGTCTAGGCTCTGTGGTGATAGATTCTAAGCCTTGACGATGTTGGGAGACGCCCACTGAGACTCACGAGGTGGCCGTGCTGCCCATGCTCTATAATCATTCCCCGCTTCATGACTACATCGACTGTCTGAGTTTTCCTGAATTGGTACGCGATAGTGATTGTTGTACTGTCTTTTGAAGCTTCGTCTAAGGCCCTTGCACGATGCTGCGGGCCAAAGCAATAATCGCCTCGTCGACAAACAGAAGCTTCGGCTGCGAAATTGTGCCATGCAATGACAATCCGCCGACTTTGTAGGAGCTCACTTCGCCCACTAATTTGAGTATTGCAACCTTGAGGGACAAGTTGGATACGCTCCTAAGAAAAAGCTGCTGTCGCCCCCTTGACACGCTTGAGTTATAACTCAGACGGGTTCGAATTCCAACTCAGCGCCGACGATGCCATTGCAGATGATATTGAACACTCTTTCCTTGCAGAGTACAGGGCCTCGCTGAGCCAGTTGTGCGGTTGTTCAGAGCCATTACAAACTGAGGTCTCGAATATCGTCCCAGAGCTCGGGTTGAATCATCTCTCGGCTGGTCCAATGGCATTGCTCTGGCAGATGCGCTGGCTCTCTAGAATTTGTTAGAGTCATTTTTGGTTTAGTCATAGTTAGGGAACTTACAATGATTAACAGCGCGAATACCATGTATGTTGAGATTTGAGATTAAACTGAGCTTCTATCAACGACCAAATGCGATAATGAAGGCAGTGATAAAAGTCGCAGCTTCAAGTATTTTCTTCTTTCCTGGCCTTCACTATTTATCCACTTTTTCCTTCTTCTGTTAGATTCAACAAGTTCCCTTCTCACGATAGCAATAGGTCCGGCTTCAGACACGCATGCATCACTGGCATAGACACAACGTAGCTTGAACCGTTTGGGGTGCGTAACCAAACGGGAGGAAAGGCAGTCAGTCGTCCCCAGATCCCCCAATGACATCAGTCATTAGCGAGTGCGAAGCGTCCGGTCAAACAATACGACTTGGGCATTTTTGTCACCGAACTCAACGCCGAAAGAGCGTGGATCTTAATCCGGGGTGGTGGATTGAGACGAACAAGATCGAAAAGGGCTCGTATGACTAGAGGATAATATCACTGTCATATTATGGAGAAGGACTCCAGCAATTTTTCATGACTGCGTCTTGCAAAATACGTCGACACCTTGAATTGATGAAGCAGGTTTAGGCCAGGGGTTCTCTAGGGTAGTGGCTTCCCCCCTTACACGTGATGTTTTGGGATGGCGGGCTGCTATTAGGGAGGACGACGCTTTGAACCCCACCATATGAGGCGAGCCCGGGTGGAAGCTTCATACAGCGCAACACGCTTGGTTTCATTGTTGAATGACGAGCTGCGAGACCTAGGTTTATTGCTACATATACACGGGCTGGGCGCGCAAATATACCTTAGTCGAGAGGCTCGCGACTGCAAATTGGGCTGACGAGCCACATTCTGACCAGCAGAGACCAACCCACCAGCCCACACAAGCCATCCATGCCTCCGACCGCCTCTTCCTCAACCTCGACCATTGCCATCCTACGAACCACCGTTTCCTCACTGCAACGATAGTTGTGTGCCACAGAGGGTGTGGCTACGAGGCCAGCCGCCCGGAGTCATAAATTTGGTGCAGACACAATGAGTCGCACATTGCCGACTCGACAGGCCGAGGAGTTGTGAGTATCACCAGACACCTGGCGACATCTCCGATACGGCAACGTGGCACTGGGGTGGGCTCGAGACTGATGCGGGAACCTCCAGGCACAAATCCATCATAGCCTACCTGTCGGCGAATAACTTGCCAAAATCAGCCGCTGCTCTGCGAGAAGAGGTCGGCCTTGGGGAAGATGTCTTTGATGTAGCCACCGAAAAGAAGTATGAAACGCTCCTCGAGAAGAAGTGGACTAGCATTGTGCGACTGCAGAAGAAGGTGTGTATTGGATACAGAATCCCGTTTCTTGGCTAGGCTCGAATTTTTGTCGGCACTTATCTGACCCAGGCGAACCCTTCACTAGATCATGGATCTCGAGTCACGAAACGCATCGCTGCAGTCTGAACTCGACAACGCCACCCCGAGCTCCCTGTCGAAGCGAAACCAAGATCCCACATCATGGTTACCTAGAAAACCATCGAGACATACGCTGGAGAGTCACCGAGGGATGCTCAACTGTATTGCTTTCCACCCGAGATTTTCATCGATTGCCTCTGGATCCGACGATTGCACAATCAAGATCTGGGATTGGGAACTGGGCGAACTGGAACAAACAATCAAAGGCCACACACGCGCCGTCAAGGGTCTTGATTACGGCGGGCCTCGAGGTGCTACGTTATTGGCATCATGCAGCTCAGATCTCACTATTAAACTGTGGGACCCGTCAGATCAATACAAGAACATTCGAACATTGTCGGGCCACGACCACAGCGTCAGCGCGGTTCGGTTTATATCATCTGGCTCAGGGGGCTCGCAGTCGTCTGCAAACTTGCTGGTCAGTGCTAGCGCAGACAAGACTTTGAGAATATGGGACACGGCAACTGGCTACTGCTTGAAGGCCCTACGAGGCCACGTGGATTGGGTACGAGATGTTTGCCCATCAGGGGACGGACAGTTCATTATATCGGCTGGTAGTGATCAT